CACCTTCAATTTGTAAAAAAATGCAGTGTCTGTGAAATGCAATAAAACAAGCTGTGCCTGTAACATCAATGTTTCAGAGTAATTGGGTTATGCAATTATTTCCCATTTAAGCAGTGTAATTTTTTTTGTGAGGTAGAAAACAGTAAAATCTATGGAATATTTCAAATTATGATACTTTATTTTCAATGTTAAGGGAAAGGTTACATACTTAGTCAGCATAAACCTTTTAATATAGGGTTACTGGTTCTCTTTCTCTATGTCTCATGAAAAAATTTCAAACATACACAAAAGTACAGAACTAAATAATGAACTATATGTATACTTCACCCAGCTTCAAATATTATCACCATTTTGAGATTCTTGTTGTATCTATTGAGCCCTTCCCCCCACCTTCCTTGTAGAATATTTTAAAGCAAATTCCACACCATTATACCATTCCATATCACAAATATTTCAGTATTTAAGTCATTTTCTCAATATTAGACAACAGCTTTTTAAAAATTGCTTTCTACAAAGTTAATTATACTTCATTACAAGAGCACTTAATTTAATTTCTTACATTTCCCCCTGACAATCAGTATAGGAATGGGTGCCCATTTACAAATTCCTATTTCAAAACCTGAAGTGCTCCAGAAGGTGGTTTTTAAAAAAAGCAATATAAAGACATACATACATACAAATTTATGAGTTTTAATATTTTATTTTCTAAGAAATAGTTTTGATAGGTTACTCTGAAATTAAGACAATTATGAAAAAAATCTATAGTATATTAGCATACAGAGGTTCATTTGTTATTTTTGTCATTCATTTATATATATCCTTCCATGGCTTCACCCAGTGGTGTGCTGAAGGTGGCCTGTAGGAGATTTTGATAGCTGACTGTAAATTTTTAAGAATTTTGTGAGCTGGTTGTTCAACTTCACTACTTAATAAATTATTTTGAGTTAAAATAAATTTTATTGGAAAAAAGCAACATATACTAAAAAACTCACCAATTTTTAATTATAGTAAAACTTTGGATTGCAAGTAACTTGGTTTGTGAGTGTTCTGCAAATGAGCAAACATTTCTAATACATTTTAACGTGGTAAATGAGCGCTATTTTGCAATATGAGTAGTTTGTTTCCAGAACAAATTATGCTCGCAAACCAAGATGTTACTGTATTTTACTATTATTTACTATTATCTCTGCTCTTGAGCTTACATACGAGTATGCCTATGACACTTGTATGGTGGAAACATAATTTAATGGTGTGCTACTGAGCATCTTTTCTCTACTCTGTGTTCAGCAACTTTAAGTTGGCAGATCGAAGTTAGTCATGGTGGGAATATTTATCCTACAGATAGAAGCAAATGCTACAAATCGGAGCCATCCCTCATACCCCTGCCTGGAGAGCTGGTTGTTAACATTTGCTAACAAAATGCTGGTCCACCCTGAGCATCAACTACATGTCAGGCACTGCAGTAATATTAAAGAGTTCTGATATTTTGAAATTTGAGCACAAAGATCCTTCTATTGTTACAGTATTAATAGCATTTTAATAGAGGGCACTATGAAGACAAATGTGAACAGGTCCTTAAGAAAACAAATGAAGAATGCATCATATGTATTAATAGTTTTTACTATATATGTCTTTAAAAGGAACAATAGTGAGGTGGCATCTTTGGCTTTGTTTTAATACTTTAATTTCAGAAGTACAGAAAAATGCAATTAGACAGGCTTAAACAATAAGAGGACTGAAACTACTACATAGATTGTATATACAATTGACTATTGAACGCAGGTTTACTGTGTGGGTCCACTTATATGTAGATCTTTTTTTTTTTTAAATGAATGATTATAGGAGTATTCAGGCTTTCTATTCCTTTTTTAAAAAATTAAATTAATCGGGGTAACATTCTTTAGTAAAATTACATAGGTTTCTATATATAGTATTGTGTGTTCATCACCCAGAGTCAGTCCTCCTTCCATCGCCATATACTTGACCCACTTTACCCTCATCTACCACCCACCTCCCCGCTTACCCTCTGGTAACCACTAAACTGTTGTCTGTGTCTATGAGTTTTGTTTCTCTTTGTTTGTCTTGTTCCTTTGTTGCTTTCAGTTTTATATCCCACATATGAGTGAAATCATATGGTTCTCGATTTTTTCTGTCTGACTTATTTCGCTTAGCATAATAATCTCAAGATCCATCCATGATGTAGAAAATGGCACTATTTCATCTTTTCCTATGACAGAATAGTATTCCATTGTGTATATATACCACATCTTTATTCAATTATCTATCAAAGGACACATTGGTTGTTTCCATGTCTTGGCTGCTGTGAATAATGCTGCAATGAACATTGGGGTACATGTATTATTATAAATAAATGTTTTCATATTTTTTGGGTAGATACCCAGGAGAGGGATTGCTGGGTCATATGGTAATTATATTCTTAATTTTTTGAGGAACCTCCATACTGTTTTCCGTAGAGGCTGTACCAATTTACATTCCCACCAACAGTGTATGAGGGTTCCTTTCTCTCCACAGCCTCTTCAACACTTGTTATTATTTGTCTTGTCAATGATAGCTATTCTTTTTTTTTTTAAAAGATTTTATTGGGGAATAGGGGAAGGGGGACAGATAAGTTGTTGTCCTTTTTGTTCTTCAGTCTAGTTGTGGAGGACGTTGCTTCACTGGCCCATGTTGGTATTATCATTGTGCTCTTCCCGGGTGAAGCAGTCGCTCGCCGGCCATTGGACGGCAACTTACGGTGGCTCACAGCAGCTCACGCCCGCTGTGGCCAGTCCCACTGCAGCTGACGCTGTCGTCAGCGACTCATGGCAGGTTGAGCTGTTGTTCACCATCTTAGCTGTAGAGGGTGCAGCATCACTGGCCCTCATGTGGGATCTGAACCAGGGCCCTGCTGCTCAGAGCTGGTGTCCCAAGCCAACTCCTAACCAATGTGCCATTTGGCTAGCCCGATGATAGCTATTCTGATAGGTGTGAGGTGAAAACTCATTGTGGTTTTGATTTGCATTTCCCTAATAGTTAGTGAAGTTGAACATTTTTTCACGTATCTACTGACCGGTTGCATGTCTTCTTGGGAGAAATGTCTGTTCAGGTCCTCTGCCCATTTTTTAATTGAATTGTTTTTTTTTGTTTTGTTTTTGAGTTGTACAAGTTCTTTATATAGAAAATCCTAAATATTCCACCAAAGAACTATTAGAAACAATAAACAAATTCAGTAAATTTCCTGGCTACTAAATCAATGTACAAAAATCCATTGCATTCATATATACTAACAATAAAATTTCAGAAAAAGAAATGAAAAAAAAAAGCCAAACCAATTCCTTTTGCAATAACAACAAAAAGAGTAAAGTACCTAGGAATAAATGTAACAAAGGATGTGAGGACACTGAAAACTTTAAGACATTCTTAAGATAAATTGAAGAAGACACAAAGAAATGGAAAGACATTCCATGTTCATGGATTGGAAGAATCAACGTAGTTAAAATGGTCATATCACCCAAAGCAATATGCAGATTTAATGCAATCCCCATCAAAATCCCAATGACATTTTTATAAAGAAACAGAACAAAAAAATCATCAGATTTGCATGGAATCACAAAAGACCCCGAATAATTCTAAGATTCTAAGAAAAAAGAACAAGGCTGGAGGTTTCAACTCCCTGGCTTCAATCCATACTACAAGGCGACAATAATCAAAACAGTATGGTACTGACAGAAAAACAGATACACAGACCGATGGAATAGAACTGAAAACCCAGAAATAAAACCCCATGTATATGGGCAGATAATTTTTGACAAAGGAGCAAAAAACATACAATGGAGAAAAGAAAGCCTCTTCAATAAATGGTGCTGGGAAAATTGGAAAGCCACGTGCAAAAAGAAGAAAACTAGACTGCTGTCACCATGCACCAAAATTAACTCAAAATGGATCAAAGACCTAAACATACGACCTGAAACAATAAACTACATAGAAGAAAGCATAGGTACTGAACTTCTGGACCTTGGGTTCAAAGAGGATTTTGTGAATTTAACCTCAAAGGCAAGGGACGTAAAAGCTAAAATAAATGAATGGGACTATATCAAACTAAAAAGCTTCTGCACAGCAAAAGAAACCATCGACAAAACAAAGGGGCAACCAACCAAATGGGAGAAGATATTTGCAAAAAACACATCCAGTGAGGGGCTAGTATCCAAAACATATACATATATTTTTTTCAATAAATATATCGTCGGCCCTCTGTATCCCTGGGCTTTGCATCGGCAGCTGGGAATCTGTGGATACAGAAGGCCTATGCCATTTCATACAAGGGACTCGAGCATTCCCGGATTTGGGTATCTGTCAGGGGTCGTGGAAAAAATCCTCAGCAGACGATGTAGTAAAGTGTTTAGGGAGTCAAAAGTTACAGGGTGATTTTCAGCTGCACAGAGGTCTGCGCCCCTAACACCTGTGTTATTCAAGGTTCACCAGTATACTCTGTTAATAATACAATATAAGGCTAAGGAAAATAAAAAATATGAATCTGATTTTAAAATATATAATTTGGGAACTTTCATATACCAAAGAATGTGAGAGCTTAAGTGCACTCGTATACTAAGTTAAGTGTGTTTGATGCGATTTTTTATTAAAGAAGTCAAAAAGCAAATCTATTTTAAAAATGAAGCTTTAGTTCAAAACTTTAAATGCCACCAAAATTTGCCAAACTTGTTTTGCCAGTTGATATTCCCAGAAATCAAAGCTTTTGTCTGTCTAGTCTGCATTTATATTTAGTCTGGGCATTTAATCTCTCTTTTGATCTTAGTTTTGCCATACACTGTTAAGTTGTTTTATAAGGCTTTAACGTAAGTTAGTTTCATAAATTGTAAAACCATTTTGTACTAGCAAACAGCTTATTTTAAAACGACTCAGAAAACACACAAAGGAGTAACAAAGAATTAAATTGAACACTGTGATTCTTTATATGTGTTTCTTTTGTTTAAGTTATTTACCTCTTGTGAAAGCTGTGTTACTTGTTCCTTTTGATGTTCCAGGTCTTTTAAAACCAACGAGTTTTGTTTTTCTAACTGAAGCACTCTTCTTGCCAAGTGGACACTAGGTGAATGAAAAAAAAAAGTTAATGCTCACAAAAGGGCCAAACTAACTAAAATATTCGAAATGTGTTTGTGTGCTTGAAAACTGACTTACCATTTTCTAATAATACTTAAATATTAACAGAAAAAAACATGGAGTCAAGTGCTATTTTCAGATATTAATACTGAAAGACCAATATTCCAAGAACTCATAATTTTGAAAGTAACATTAAATCTTCATAATAACATAACATAAATAACATAGTAACATAATATACTGATTACTGCAGTAATGGTTTTTAGCGCTTGCTACAGTGCAGAATTACATTATGATACTTGCTTGAAAAGACCACAAAAATAGCAATTTACAGCTTTTCTCCATTTTTATAAAAATTTCCCATTTACAAACAAATCAGGCAATCAGTTCAAACAATAAGTTTGCATGTTGAAAAGCATGTGTTTATCTCAGACAAAAAAATGATTTTCTGTTGAAACACAACTGAATAGATTTTCTGTTTAAAGTAGAGATGGAAAAGATGTATGATGAGTGGAAAATGTCTAGTAAAGGCAAAGATTCTGGACTAAAAGAAATCACTGAAAGACCACACTGTGATCATCAACTTATTGTCCCGAGTGTAACCTTTAAATTTAGGTTACCTTTAGAATTTAAAATCCCATTGAATGTGTAATGTCCCAGTTCCACTTTGAAGACACAATTGAAAAAAAAGCTTCAGCTACAAAATCACTTTTTCTAACTACTGGGGGAGAAAAGTGGCATGATTTTTTTTAAGAACTGCTAATTATGTTGAGAAGACTTGATGCTCCAAAGACCCTCTCCATAATTCCAAAAACTTAAAAATTCTTATTTATCATATTTTCATCCATATGAATTGGCTTATTAATACCTCAATGGTGAAATCCCTGGAATCCAAGAAGATAGGATGTTTTATGATGACAAGAGGTAAAATATTTTCCTTCTAAATAAAACTATAGGACAAAAACAATTCCATTGTGTTTTTAATATTTTCTAATATCGGACATAGGAATACAGAAGAAACTGAAAATAATGTTAAATATCCTACACATCTATTTCTAAGAACTTGTTTTTGTTTTTCCAAATAATAAAGATGAGCTCTGGTAAAAGCTTATATAGTGAATTGGGTAGCTTGTTTACAAAACAACTTCATTGATATGAAATTTCTAGATATATAATTTACATACCATAAAGTCCACCCGTTTAAAGTATACAATTCAATGGTGTTTAGCATATTTAGAGTTATTCAACTATTGCTATAATCTAATTTTAGAACTTATTTTGTGTTCCAGTAAAACATTTATTTATTTATTTATTTATTTTAAACTTATTGGGGTGACATTGGCTAGTAAAATTATATAGGTTTCAAGTGTACTTTTCTATAATACATGACCTGTATAATGCGTTTGTTCACTGCCAGAGTTAGTTCTCCTTCCATTACCATATATTTGACCTCTTTTTCCCTCTTCTACCCCCCCCCTGCCATTTTAGAACATTTTTATTACTCCCAAAAGAAAATGTGTACCCTTTAGCACCATTCCCCATCCTCCCTGCCCAGACCTTGGGTATTACTTTCTTCCTTTGTCGATTTTTAAGATGTCCACACTGTTTGGCTATCCTGTTTTCCATTCCTCGACCTAAAATATACTTAGTTCTTTCAAATTTGACCCTAAAAAAAACCCTCTACAAATAAAATAATCTTAATGCTAATTTTATATTATGTTTAAAAAAATTTTTTTTTAAAGATTTTATTAAGGAATTGGGGAGGCGGACCAGCCAAGTTGCTCTTCAATCTTAGTTGTGGAGGGCACCAGTCGCCATCTGGCTGCCTGTTGGCAGCTCGTGGCCTCTAAGCTCAAGGTGCTGTGTTCAATCTTAGTTGCAGGTGGGCATAGCCACCATCCCATGTGGGAGTTGAACCTGGCAGCCTTGTTGTTAAGAGCACACGCTTTATCCACTGAGCCATCCGGGCAGCAGCTCAGCTCAAGGTGCCGAGTTCAGTCTTAGATGAGGATGGGCGTAGCCCACCATTGAACAGGCAATCTGGTTACACCACATGAGCCATCCTGCCACCTGTTGGCAGCTCAGCGACAGCTCAGCTCAGGCACAGAGTCACTGGCCCATGTGGGAATCAAACCGGCGTTTATGTTGCTCAGAGCTCGCACTCTTAAGCCAACTCTTAACCAGCTGAGCCACTCAGCCGGCCCTTATGTTTACATTTTAAGACTGTTGATTATATGTTTGCAAACATCAGTATTTTATATCATTGGCTGTTTTTTATTATGCTAATTTAAAAACCTTAGAGTTTTCTTCACTCATATTTTCATTTTCTTTCATCCTTCATATATGTTAGGAATAAGTCTCTTCATCCTTGTGTTTCACACAAAACTCAACATCAGGGTCTTTCTATACATAATAATTTCTCAATAAATGGATGTTGAAGGTACAGGTCATATTTGTGTAATGCTCAGTATAGAACAATGAACACAGTCAAATGCTATTACAATCAGATGCTATTACACAGAAACAGAGTTACAGATGAGATGAAATGGAAGAAAAGGGATGCAAGAAAATAACGAGATACAAGGGTCACCCATTACCAACATTTTGAAGATAATGATTTGAAGACATCAAGTATAATAATATTAAGTAGCTCATTTGGTTTGGGTGCTTTTTGTTTTGTTTGGGAATTGCATAATTCTCTTATGCCAATATGGTGTGATACCATTTATCGATGCAAAATATCAAGTGATGTAAAACACTGAATTTAAGAAATTCTTGGTATGTTGCTGCTTAAGTCCTAACATCAGGGCTACTTTCTTCTACCAAGAATTTCCCTGACTTTGGCTGGAGGATTCTGAGTGAGAAAAATAAACTTTAAATAGCATGAAGATATCTTATGATTTCTTGCAATTGCTCATAAATGTGTTCTGCCGTGTTCTGATTACTAGCTTATAGTGCTATTTTACTGGGAAAAACTTTCTAGGAATTGGTGCTGAGGGAAATGACTGTGGCTATTATTATGAATTTGATGTCATTTACGAAGCATAATGATTATAACGTGGAAGACACTGTGGTACACTTGATTTCCAATTCATCCACTGATCACATTTTAAAAATTCACTTCTAAGTCTCAGTTTTAAGGTAGAAGAATACCTTATCAGAAACGGTGCAATGTTTCTGGTGCAGCGGTGCAACGGTTAAAACGGTTAAGGTTCTCAGGTTGCTCTAAAAATGACCCATTTAGCTCATGAAGTGATAGGGGGGGAAAAAGGATAACAGGAAAAGAAAACAAGAACAAGAATAAGAATAAAAAATAATAGTGTGAAATATATATATTTTTAAAAACTATGTATTTAAGCACATAGAACACACAGGGAAAACAAGAAGTACAATTTTTTCATCTTTATAATACTTGCAATTAAACAAAAATGATTAAAAGAAAATTAGCAATTTTTTCTTGATCATGAATATCAATGACTACAGAAAAGCCAGTTGAATTAGAGGAAATACATTCATTAATTCAATAAGATACTCATGAACACTTTCTTTTAGCAAACATGTATTAAAAAAAGCCTATGATCTACACAGGTACTGGGAATACACACTTTCTACCTGGAGGAGCTACCAGTCTATTGAGGAAGATAGGCAAATAATAGAAATTATCGTAGTGTGCTAAATGTTACGAAAGGGCACAGGAAAGAATGAAAACTAATTCTGACCAATCTGGTGAAGAGACAGAGAAATAGCATTCTGGTAGAGGAAAAAGCATAAGTGAAGGGTGATCTGCTGAGAAAACTGTAAGCAGTATAGTACTGATGGATAAAACATATGGTATGTGGTGAGGGTTGAAGCTAGAGAAATTTAGGTGGGGATTTATGATGAAAGGACTCGTATGACAAGCTGAGTTTAAATTTTATCCGTTAGTTGGTTAGGCATGACATGATCAGATCTGTACTGGAGAGAGTCCGAAGGAAGATTTGAGCCAACAGACGGTTAAGGTCATAGTCTCTAGACCAGTGGTCTCCAAAAGTAGTTATGTGCACAAATATCCATTGAAGTATGGAAAATATTATTTACATTTATTTTAATTTTATGTATTTTTAAGTTTTAATTTTCTGTGTATGCTTGATATTATAATGTACATACCATTTATATGATGGTACATGCATATACTTTATAAATAAATATAAATACATATACATATATTGGTGGGTGCATATTTAATTATTTTTCCAATAGGGATTCATATAAAAAAGATTGGAAACCACTGGTCAAGGCCAGTTTTGTCCAATAGAAATACAATGTAAGCCACACATGTAATTTAAAATTTTCTAGTAGCTACATTAAAAATAATACAAAGCCCTTATTTCACATGATATGAAAAATTAACTCAACGTAGATCAAAGACCTGTATGTAAGAGCTAAAAACACAAATTCTTAGTGAAAAAAAAACCCAGGAGTAACTACTTCATTAATGTGGATTTGGCAAAGGATTCTCAGATATAGCTTCAAAAGCACAAGTAACAAAAGAAAAAATAGATTAACTGGACTGCATCAAAATTAAAAAGACACTATCAAGAAAGTGAAAAGACAGCACATGGAATAGGAGAAAAAAATTCAAAATATGTATCTCATAAGGGGTTTGAATCCAGAAAATATAAAGAACTCTTACAGCTCAACAGTAACAAGACAACCCAATTACAGCATTCACAACAGTACCCTGGCTATGGAAAGTTCTAAATAATTGCACACACAGATCTTTTGCACTCCTTGTACAGTGATTTCTTAGGAATTGTAATGACTGGGTCAAAACACACATGCATTAAAATTTTCAGACATTCCTCCTGAAAGGTTGTACAAATTTAAATTCTCACTAACTAGAATAAAAGTTATCCAAGGACAGGGCTTATTTATTTTGTACTCTCATGTATTACTCTAAGTGCCTCTAATAATACCTGGTACAATAATTACCTGTTCAGTAATAA